TTGGGGCTTTTCTTCCTATTTCACATTATCAATTATTCATTTTAATCCTTATTTACACTTTCAGTTTCTCACACCAGAGAAACTATTCGTATTTACACGTGTGTCCTATTTATTTCACTTAAGAGTATGGCCTCAATGTGCATCCATTTAGTTATAAATGTCTCTAGTTTCTCCTTCTTCATAGCTGAGTAGTACTCCTTTTATTAAAAAACCACATCTTCTTTATCCAGTCTCCAGTTGATGGGCACTTGGGCTATTTCCAAGCTTTAGCTATTACAAACTGTGCTGCTCTAAATATGGGTGTGCTTATATCACTGTTCACCAAGAAATTCTGCAGAGCCACCAACACTAAGAATTGTCAATTACTTCATAGTTAGCAAGGAAGAGTCTTTTCCTATGCCCCTTCTTTTACAAATAATATTAGGTGTCTCTATCAATGAGGGTAAAATCGGAAGTAGGTCTTTTTCTCTCCCCCACCCCTGCTCATTTCTCCCTCTCTCTTCAGTGCTGGGAATCAAAACCAGGGCCTTGCAATGCTAAGTAACCATTCTACCACTGAGCTATATCTCCTGCCCCTACATTTCTCAGTTAGGGTGAGGTCTCTGCAACTGTTGTAATTTTAAGGCCCTTAATTTGTTTGCTTGATACTTTCCTTTTTGGTCTAATGTCCTTTCAAAATGTTCTGTAAGATCCTGTAGTGCATTCAGGGAGTTAGCACTCATTCTTTAGTAAGTCATTTATTTTTCTGTGCAGTCCATTAACAAAGTGGCCTGATAAAGCCACTTTATCATCTTGGCCTTTAAGGCCAATGTTGTTTGAAAACTTTTAGGCAGATATAATAGCCCACAATGGATTCATTCCTTTTGGTTTAAAGATTAGATTAGGCCCAGTCTATTTATGGGGAATACTTCAGTGTAGCTTATAATGGGTGGAACATTTCTCTAGTCCTTCACACCCCTTCTTTGGATACACATTTAGTAAGATCTTCAGGGTCTCTACTTGGATTATCTCATTGAGTTTTTTTCTAGCTATTCCTAAGCATTCCCTGTGTCCACTAGCATATGAACAAACTGATATAAATCAGGAATTCCTGAGTCATAGGTCCTTATAATGATTTAAATTTTCCTGTAAACCTGGTTTGGTCCTTTGTAGGGTCAGCAAAGTCCTTATAATGGATCAGATCCTAGGTTTAAATTCAGCTGTGACAGGCATTGCAAGATTTGAAGTTCATTTGAAGGAGTAATTTTTAGGGGAAGCTGGCATTGAGGAAGCTTAGGTAGGAAAGGAGAGCGATTAAAAGAGTTAGTGGAGAGCCGGGGATTTAGCTCAGTGGTTCCAGTACCTCCCTCGAAAGCGCAATGTCCCGAGTTCGATCTCTGATACCAAAAAAAAAAAAAAAAAAGTTAGTGGATTCAGAATAATCAGGTAGCAGAGGGTACAGAGGAGACAAGGAGTTAGTAGTCTGACTTTTAGACTTTAATTTTTTATTAATGTGTGTAAAGATTCCTTTGGAGAAGTTATTTTGAGTTATTCTATCTTTTGGAAAGTCCTATATTCCACAGAACATAGTAGATTGTTTCTGAGAGGTTCAGGATATTCTAAATTGAACTGTTCTAAGTTGAAGGTTTTTCACAGTGGCCTCCATGATTCCAGATTATCCTTTGTAGTATTCATCTATGTTTTCAAAAAAGCATAAGATCCTGATCTATAGTGGGTATACATATAGGACACATGGGTTTTTGAGGGAGATAGGGAAAATGTCTTTTATATTATTAGTCAGTTTCCTGTCACTGGGACAAAATACCTGACCTACACAAGTAGACGAGGTATAGTTTGGGTTATGGTTTCAAAGGGTTCAGCCCATGGTTGGCTGGCTCCAAGGCAGAAACATCATGGAAGGAGGCAGGGCAGAGGAAAACTTCTCAACCCATAGTGGTCAGAAAGAAGAGTGAGAAGAGAGGAACTGGAAATAGGAATTCAGCTTTCCAGGTCAGGCCCTCAGTGACCCACTATCTCCAAGAAGACCCTATCTCTTAATAGCACATTCAGGAATGAACTCATTAATAGATGAATCCACCAATGAGTTCAGCACTACCATAATCCAATCACCTACCAAAAGCCCCACCTCTGAACATATGAGGCTTCTCAAGAACATTTTATATCTAAACCATGACAAGAGGCTCATTGATTCTACTGCTATCCAAAAACCCAGGGAATCAGATTTCTTCCCTTTATAAATATAAGGTAAACTTACCAAAAAGCTTCACCAAAAATCAATGGCATGCATCATAAAGTCAGAAAGCTTGAAATGCAAAAACAGCAGAGCTTGGTAGGTTGGGGGTGTGTGGCTCAGTGGTAGAGCATTTGCCTGCCATATGTAAGGCCCTGTAATCAACCCCAGCCT